GTAGAATCAAAGTACAACCGACTCGTTAGCTTGAATTTGGTTGTGACGATGATACCTTGCTATGATGATGCTCGTCATAGGACGGACGAAAGTTTAGCTCATTTTCACTGGAATCGAAGGAGATTACTTTGGAGATAGCATCACCATGAATGTTCCAGTAAAGCCAATCGACATCTGGTCAAGAGGAATCCACCGTCGTCTTCTGGTGTAATCACCCTTCGAATATCTTCACCAAATTCTTTCTCCCTAATTATAATCTTATATGCTGTATATTCATCTAATACCTCTAACATTTTGTTTACATAATCAGTCTTATCCATAACTACTACTGCTCATCCTTTGTCTGTCCTTAATACTAGTTGCTCGTTCTCCTTAAGCTTCCTTATAATAGTGTTAACTGTCCTGTTTTTATATGGTGTTTATACGTGACCACTAATTAAAGGGACAACTTGTAATATAATGTCACTCCTAGTATTCTTCATTAAACTTATCAATTCTACCAAAATTTCCTCTTTGAAGTTCTCACCATTTTGAGATGCAAGGACCTTCTCAGTAGAAATGATAAATGAAATTTTCGGCAAATTTACCACTTTTTAGCAACAGCTATCCTGACACCTCAATTAATTAAATTTGCGAAGCATAAGGAGAACAAGCAACTAGTATTAATGGTTGACAAAGGAGAAGCAGTAGTAGTTATGGCTATGGCTGATTATGTAGACAAAATGTTAGAGGTATTAGATGATGATACAGCATATAAGACTATAATTATGGACCCGACAGAAGGCCTTAAGGTCAGACTTAAGGGTCTTTTGCAACAATGAGTAAGCAGTGGAGGACTGGAAAGGTGGAAAATGAATGCACTACTCCGGCGAGATACGAGACCCCTAAATGGGTATAGTCTGCATAAGATCCATAAGTTAGGTACTCCACTTAGGATTGTTGTAAATGATAGAGGTATTGCGATGCATAAAACATCACGATTTATATCTACTCAATTAAATTGCTCACAGGAGTCGTCTTCAATTGTCACTGATAAGTTGTGACCCTCTCCTAAGGATGGTGCTTCTCATTGGCGCTGGTGAAACGTCTAGTTATTTATCACGTTAATGTGCCAATGTTGGAAATTATCATGAATACTGTGGTAGGAGGCATAGAATAATTTACGTTCCACTAGGCCTCTGTCGCCCCGACCAAGTCGCATAGACAAGATCAAATCAATTCATAATTTTAACTTTTCCAGGTTTTTTCTTGGGATACTTTTAGTACTCACTTCTAATCTCCGTAGACAAGGCTCACCAAGATACCAGCTTTATTATTAATACTAACTTATTTAACCTTAGCGGTAAAAGTACAATAAAGAAGAGAAAAAATTGATCAAGCTTAACCTCGGGGTAATTGACCCTAATTTATCAATATCTGGCATCTACTTTAGCGGGGTAAAACTAGCTGGTCTTTCCGGATCTGCCAAGCAAATCGGATGTGTGATGAGGTATGAGATCAATGCCAAAATTGAGGTATAAAGAACTTATTCGTCTAGAAAATTAGGCATTATTTTGCCTATGAAGGTCATAAATCAAAGGCACTACCTATTTGCCTCTGCCTGTGTCGAAATTTCCATTCATGCTGAGGTACTAAAACCACTTAATGTGCTAATATTATATGATCATTTATTATACATCTTCCATTTGCAGCCACACTGCCGTACTTTTTTACTGGGCGGTGAGTAATGTGAATTATTATTTTTTTTCGTTATAGAACTATATTCAGAATCAAAATCCTCCAAGGATTCTCATTATGTCCTATGAAATGTTTCTTCAACATGCAGACACCGTTAGTTCAATTGACCAGATTGACCTTGTCGTCTGCGACGAGGGCCATCGATTAAAGAATGCTGAAATCAAAACCACCGCGGTAATGTCTACATAAGTTCATTTATTTTTCTTATTCTATCCATACTTAGTCATTTTTCTGTTTTGTATAATAGTTCAGTTACCCTAACTAGCACTGTTGTGTGCTGGATAATTTTGCTAACACTATTAGACTTTCATTTTTATTATAATTTAGTGTGATCCTAAAGAGATTATATACACTTATATCTGTTGTGAGGCATTTTACTAACAGCATATTTGAAATCAAAAATTGCAATAAAATGCCCGGGTTAGGAAGCTTGTATTTCCTCTAAAAGTATTTACAAGCAGATCATGCTAATACAATTTAACCATTTAATGCAATTATTTTTCCAAACGAGATAATTTATAAAATGATGACAGCTTCATAAGATATAACTTTTTCAATATGATGATATAGTTCTTTTCATAATCTGCTATAGCTGGCTCTGATATTGCCGTAAAATGGCTAGTAACATTTTATTATTCTACTTTATAATCTGAGTTAAAATAGTATTTGAACTCGCTATTTGAGTTTACTTGCCGTATTGATAGTTCTCGGATGTATACCTCAATACCTCTAGCTAAACTTGGGTACTGTATTAATAGTCAAACAAAATTATTAGCAGTGGTCTGAACTCGTTTTCGCTACTTGGTCGTATTGCCAGGGCGACTTAGTTTAACGCACCTTGTTCGAAGTAGCCTGCTATAATAGGTATCTTAATTCCCAGCATCGGATCATGGTCTTGGTACATTCCCAGACGTTTCACCAGCATCGTAGTCGGTACCGTCAGTAAATCTTTCCATTTTCAGCACCAAGATACAACTTGTCAAAGAGACAAGTGAAGTCAATCCCTTGACCATCTTTTTGCCGAACGGTCGTCCCATCCTCTTTCTCTCCTGGCGCCTCTGTCTACTCACTACCCTCTTATCTCCTGTCTATAACGCTTTGTAGCATATTGCTGAGAATAGAAAGACTCACTGACGATGTTGGCGAATAGTCCGGCAATTTAGTAAGTCAACGATCCGACGCTTGGAATTATAATAGCTAGTATAGCAGATGACTTAGGACAAGGTGCGTCCAACAAAGTCGGCCTGACAACAAGACCAAGTTTAGAAAAAGAGGTCAGGTTACTTCTATACATTGAAAGGAGACTGCTACGAAAATAGAGGCCACAATATTTTGGTCTTAATATCTACGTTTAACCCAAATCGATATTTTATTCTTAGGTGTCGAGGGGTAAGCAGAAACCTAATTCGCATTTTATGCCTTGAAGTTTTGTTGTTGCTTTCTCTCATCCACAATTAGGCTGGACAGACTACAAGTTTTGCTCCTTTTCCTAGATATTGATTTATCTCATGCCCATTATCTATGAACATACGTGTTTTCATTCGTTTACACTTAGGCCCTGAAGAATCTTCCTGCCAAGCGCCGCCTCCTCCTGACTGGAACTCCTATTCAGAATAGTCTAGAAGAGCTCTGGTCATTGGCAGACCTCGTCGCACCTTGTCGTTTAGGTTCCTCGTTCGACCATTACCGTCGGAACATTGTAGAACCATTAACCCGTACTCCCCAAACCAAGGCATCCTGTTTTCTTCAGGATTTTATATGCGGTAATTCATTAGAGCGGGCCAGGATCGACACGACTCAAGAGTAAGCCAGAAACAGGATTGTGAATCTATTAACTATCTTTTTGAGTCGATAGTTGCCTAAATAGTGCAGTGGCCAAAAGCTTTACCTTATCGCCTATCGATATCTTTATAATATCACATTTTACTATTTCACTTGCATGATACAAGAAGTAGATGGTTTTTATTATTTAAAAATCGACTTGAAAAATTTCGCATACTGCTAACTTGTGAATAAGAGTTTTGAAATAAATCATTTTCTCAGAATATCCTAAATAAATGATCCTGTAACTTTACACATGGCTTTTAAATACTTGCGGAATTATGCCATTTCTATCTTCTCTTCTAATTTTTCTTAATTACTCTCTCTGCAGCATGGGCTTAAGTGAACTTTAGTTTAAGATATATTCTAACGATTATTGTTTGCTCTTTGATGTTTTGCAGCGACCAATTGAAAAGTATAGAGGAAGGGGTGCTGAATAAAAGTGAGAAGCCCTGTAAACGGTATCTGGAACCAGTTGTGAATTTGGCTAAATCCATTTGTAGCGACACTCTCTTAGATGACATAGGAGGAAACGAGAGCACAGAATTGTGCAAGTTGGTAAATGGGCCATATGAAGTGGATTTGAGAGAACGGTGCAGCACTAGAAGGTAGGACAAAAAATATGAGTGAGGTATCATGCTGCAACGACTGAACAGAAAATTGATCGAGGGGATTGCCTTTACTTTTAATTTTGATATGTTGTAAATGTGCAAGCGACTGGCGATGCCTACTACGATGCCGGCGAAACTTTTGGGGATGTACCAAATCAATGGTCCGATCATGGAAATCACGAATACTAGGACAGATGATAAAGGACTAGGTACGTTTCACAATGTTTCCCTGACGCTCCTACTAAGTTGCGAAAAAGAAGTCAAATCAGCACTATAAAGCTAAAGTAGACTGTGACCAGACAGAAGGCCACACTATCTTTGTCTTAATATCTAGGATTTAAATAATTTATTCCTCATCATAAGTTCCTCTTAACTTCTGATTGGAGGCGTTATGATGAAACTCATTAACTCTATATGAATGGTAGGGTCCATTAAAGTCGCATAAACCATGAGTTATACCATAATGTTTAAACCAATTTAAAAAGGTAAATTATCTTTCTATTTAAATATATACATGAAGATCAAGATGTTGGGGCCTCTATTTTTGTCGCAATCTTCTTTAGAGGTTTAGAAGTGGTCTGAACTCGTTTTCTAACTAAATCGTGCTGCCAGGTATACCTAGTTGTACGCACCTTGTCCGAAGTTCTTTGCCATATAGGCTATTGTAATTCACAGTTTTGAATCTTATGCCAGGACGGAACGAGGAGGTATAGCATAACCGTTCGGTAAAAACTTGCTCAAGTAATTGACAACATTTGTCTATTTGATGAGTTGTAGCTTGGCGTGTTTAATGGTAAAATTCACTGAAAATGCTGACTACGATGCCAGTAAAACGTCTGGGCATGTACCTAGTCCACGGCCCAATGCTGGAAATTGTCATGACTACTAAATCAGAGGACTTAGGATAAGGTGTATCAAACAAGATCGCCCTGGTAACATGAAAAAGTTGCGAGAACGAGATGAGACAACTTCTAACTATTTTTTGTTTGTATTGGTTCTAATTACAATCACACCATAAATCTTAATCCAATATCACTTCTGCACAGTTAAAGATCTTATGAACTCAACCAGCTGTATGTCCATTATTTTGGAATCGGAATGATGGTTAAAAATAAAGGAATAGGTGTCATTAAACTTTGATATATGAGTCTCTAAAACTTATAATCGAAAATTAAACCTTGATGACTGAGGACAGATGTTACGTTCTATTCTAATTACTTTGAATTGTGTCTAAGGTAATGAAGGACTGGTAGTTGAATTTTCCCACAATTATATGAGTAGAGCTGACGTTTTCTTTAAATTTCACGAGGCATTGCCTTCCTGAAGGGTTTTTTTTATCCAGGATGGGCTGCAGTTTCGACCTCGCATAGGTCATATCAACAACCCAGGCAGGAGTCGAACCATGAGAGTGCAGCGTGTTAGCTCACCACGCTAACCACTATGCCCCATTGCCACAAGTGCCTTGGTGTCATAGGGCAAATTGGAATTTCAAGACCAGGCATTTTCCCATATCGCATTCTTTGGTGGGAGTGTCGATGAAACAAAGTTATATTTGCCATAACAATAGAATACATTACTTATTTAATGGTAGTCTCGAAACTCTGTTTATAAACGAAAAATAACTAATCTAGTCGATCGTTATAGCAAAAATAATTTTGCTTCATCGGCAGTCCCACAAAAGTTTATGATATGAGAAAATGCATGACCTTGAAATTCACATCTGACCTGTGACCGTGCCAGTCTTGGGTATGTCGGGTCACGTTACTGATATGACTTGCAATGTCCCCTAACTCACATTTGTAGCATGCATTTATTGAAAGCGCAAAATTGTATTTAAACTACACTCGAGCGCATTGTGTCTAGTATGAGCGGGCTTCAGGTATCAAATCCTATTATATGAAAATGAAGTCATATATAAAATGACTCATGTGAAGATAAATACGGCATTTAGTTAGGAAATAATCTCTTCAAAGTTATCCTAATTAGTTACCCGATATATATCATATTGCATTATTCTGTTATCTATTACATCAACAGATCCTCTGGAAAACAGCTTGATGAAGAGGTACTAGAGGTCCAGCGACTTCTTTCAGAAGCTCTCTCCACCTTCATGTTACGTCGTACCTCCGAAATTATTGCATCTTCTCTTCCAGATAAATGTGAGCTAATATTGCAACTATCTTCCTATCTTTAGTTTTGAGTCTCACACTTGTACCATTCTCTTGCAATTTTGATGTAGTTATTGTATATTGCTATAATATAGGGTCAGACTAGATGTGAATTTGAATTCCTGCCATTATTCGATTGTGAACGTACATCGTGCTTTACTCTGAACCAAATGCTAACTTAATTGTTGATTCAGAACTCATTCATAGTATCATTTAGCAGATATTGTTACTTATGTCAGTGAGGGAACATCGCAT